GAGCGGAGCGGTGCCGCCCCGTCCCGCCCCCCGGTGCCACCGTGACCCCGCCGCCGATCACTTCCAGGGCGGCCCCGGCTCCCGATTTGAAAATGCGGGAGCGGCTACTGGTGCTCTTGTGCGCACTGGCGAGGCGGCGGCGGCGACGCGCCGGGGCCATGGCCGGGAACGGCACCGGGAACGGGAGCGGCGCCGGGAACGGGAGCGGGGCGGGCGCCGGGGGCTGGGAYGGGCCGCAGCGGCGCGCCTGGCTCCGGCACTACTACAGCCAGCGGCAGAAGCGGCTCATGACGGTGACCGGGGCGGGGCCGCGATGGGGAAGGGGGGACACGGCACTCGGGGACGGGGGCACGGGGCACGGAGGATGCGGGGGACACGTGGAGATCGCGGGGACACAAAGGATGCGGGGCTCGCGGGGGGATGCACGGAAGTCACGGGGACACAAAGGATGGGGGAGACGGGAGACGCGGGGAGGTCACGGGGACGTGGAGGATGGGGGGATACGGGGACACAGATCACGGTGCCACAGGATGGGGGACATGAGACACGGAACACATGGATGGGAGGAATTTGGGGTGCAGGGGTACAGGGTCACTGGAGCAYCTAAAATGGAGAGTGGGGGAGTGCAGGATGCAAAATACAGAGGTAGGAAGGATGGGGAGCACGGGGAGATCACAAGGGAGACATAAAGGGTGGRGCACTTGTGAGAYYCAAAACATGGGAWGTGGGAYTGGAAGGACACATGGACACAGAGATCACAAAGGATGGGGACTGTGGGGATTCTRTGGGACRCAAAGGATGGTACTTGAAGGACACRGGATGTGATCCTGGACACAAAGGATGGCAGATGCAGAGGACACGGGGACATGAAGGAGGGGGTGACATCAAAGGTGAGGGATGGAATGGGGCATACGAAAGGCCTGGGGATACAAAGGATGCATGGCAGCAAGGACAAGCAGAGGGAACACAGGGAACCTGCTGCTCTAGGCAGTGGCTGAAAAAGGTGACTAAAGCCTCTTTTCAGTTTAAAGTTGCATTTTAGAATTTAATGACTGAAAAGCAATTCCTGTGGAGAGGCTAGGAGCATCCCCTTCCAAACCATGATTCCCACCTTCGAGGGGTGCTCGTTCCCCCTTCCAAATCAGGACTGAGCCCACAGTGCCCTCAGCCACAGGAAATCCAGTAATGCCCATTAAAGTATAAACCCCCAGAGGGAATGAATGTTCCAGAAAACTCCTCATCTGTAACCCCCGGTCATCTTGTCTGGAGTCACATCAGCTGCCTGGTGGGTTTGCAGTGAGRTTTCCCAGGAACAGGAAGGTTTGACCACTGTTAGATCAGTTGGGACCACTGACCACCTGACACTGGGCATCCTCCTGCCTTGAGCAGGTCTCTTGAGCTGGTTGATCTTCAAAGGGGGGTCCTGGTGAAGTGCAGGATGGGGATGGGGAAACACTGTCTCACACCCTTCTTATCTCCCCCCGCACTGCAGCTCCTCATTGCTCACCGGAGGAGAACCAGCTGCTCCTTCTACCCTCGTGCCTGGCCCAGCCTCAGGAGCACTGACTGGTGGGAGCGGGTGGTCCTGAAGGAGTTTGGGCCCCAGGACTGGCTGGAGAAGTTTCGAATGTCCAAGGAGACATTCTTCTACGTTTGCAACCAGCTGCGGCCTGGGCTGGCTCCGCACAGCGCGCACTTCCACCCCACSCTGCCCCTGGAGAAGAGGGTGGCCGTGGCCCTGTGGCACTTGGCCACCAACGTGGAGTACCAGACTCTGAGCCCGCTCTTTGGCGTGGGGCCCTCCACGGTGCAGAGCTGTGTCCGGGAGGTGAGCTATGCTGTYGTCTTACTGCTGAAGCCGCTCTACCTCCGTCTGCCCGACGAGAAGGAGCTGGAGAACATGGTGCGCATCTTCTGTACGCGCTGGGGCTTCCCGCACTGCATCGGGGCACTGGACAGCCTGCACATCCCCATCCACCCACCCCTGCGCCTCACCGCCGACTACTGCAACGGCCAGGGCTGGCACTCCATCCTCACGCAGGCCACCGTGGACGGGCTGGGACAGTTCTGGGACGTCTCCACCGCCTTCCCGGGCAGCATGGAGAACAGCGCGGTGCTGGAGAGCTCGAGCTTGTGGGTGCTGGCCAAGGAGGGCCGGCTGTGCCCCAACCCTCCCAARCACTTCATGGGGAAGGCACAGAAGTACGTGCTGCTGGGCGAYGCCACATACCCACTGCAAGACTGGATTCTCAAGCCCTACCAGGAGGAAGAGAACCTCACCCAGCGCCARCTGCAGTTCAACTACCGGCTGAAGCGGGCGCACAGCGTGATCGAGAACGCCTTCCTGCGCCTCAAGGCGCGCTGGCAGATCCTCCTCAAGTGCGACGACTGCAGCCTGGAGCTGCTGCCCACCCTTGTCCTCGCCTGCTGCATCCTGCACAACATCTGCGAGGCCCACGACAATCCCTTCAATGAGGAGTGGTTAGAGGGCACCGAGCCCACCGAGCTGCCCAAGCCCTGCCAGCCTGCACCGGCTGCCATGGAGGACAACCAGGCCGAGCAAGTGCGCGAGCTGATGTGCCAGTACTTTGAGAGCTGCGGGGAGGGCTGATGGGCCTGGGGAGCAGCTGCCCTGTGCATTCCTGGGCATCTGTGCTCCCGGACCTGCCGTGAACTCGGGCAACTGGCTGTACCAGGCGGGCCCGGGGCGGGGAGGGGCGGCTGGGTTGCGCTYGTGATGTTTACTGTGGAGGTTTCAGGAAGTGGAATGTATTTTGTGCCCATTCTCTCTCCCAGGATCTAAACGGTCTGGTGGTGTGYTGTGTGCTGTGGGAGTACAGTGAGGATCAGGGCTGGGAGGGGGAGGCTGCAGGGATCGCCCTTTCCTCTGTTCTGAAGCCTCTCCATTAAGCTGAAAACAGCAGGAGCCTTGAAATAAGGCAAAACTSCCTTTGAAGGTTTGAAACTTGCTGTGTAAACACCTGGAAAGGAAAGGGAAGGAAGAGACGGAGCAGTGACTTACAAGGGCTGACACCAGCCTGGAATTACACAGCACCCACAAACTCAGGGGTGTGCTGCCCCCGGGGGATGCCCAGCCTCGCACTCCAGGCCCCTCGCTAGAGGGGTTTACCTAGCCTGGCACTGCCTGGCCGCTCTCCAGTGGGATTTCACCCAGCTTRGAACACCCCCGGTCCCCTCTCAGGGTGGGCTTTGCCCAGCCTGGCATCCCCAGCCTCTCTCCAGAGGGATTTGCCCTGTCTTGCACCCCCGGCCACTCTCTGGAGGAATTGGAACACCCAGACCCATCTCCAGAGAGGTTTGCCCTGCCTCGCACTCCCGGCCACTCTCTGGAGGAATTGGAACACTCAGGCCCATCTCCAGAGGGGTTTGCCCTGCCTCGCACTCCCGGCCACTCTCTGGAGGAATTGTAACACCCAGGCCCATCTCCAGAGGGGTTTGCCCAGCCTGGCACCCTCTCCGTTGTGTCTGTGTCTCATCCCCGGGTCCCTCTGCCCGGCTCTTCCCGCCGGTCCCTCCGTCCCCTCACGGCCCCGGGCTGTAGCGCCCCCTGGCGGGCGGGAGCGGCAGCGCCCTGAGGGGGGAGGGGAGGCCGCGCTCCCTCATGGGCGGCCCCGCGCGTGCGCATTGCGCTGGCGGGCGGTCACGTGGCGGAGCAGCAAGATGGCGGCGCGCGGTGAGTACGGCACCGGCATCTCCCGGCCCTCCCCGAACCCCCTCGGTATCTCCCGGCCCAGGCAGCATCCTCAGGCCCCGTTCCCGCTGGCCCGGCGGCTCCGTAAGGCGCGGTTACAGCAGCGGGTCCATTTCTGTTCCGGGTATCCGGTGAAACCGGGTCCGGACACGCGCTGTGCCGTCAGCCCCGACGCCGGGTCCGGTTGTCCTTCCCGCCCGCCCGCCCTCCCTCAGGCCGCGGGACCCGCTGGCGGCTGAAGGCTCTCCTTGACTCCCTTCCCCGCGCGCAGGAGTGTGACCAAGGATCCCCAGAGAGCCCCCCGTGTGCCCGGAGCCGCCCGCACCATGGTGACGGAACAGGAGGTGGAGGCCATCGGCCGCACGCTGGTGGACCCTGCGCAGCCCCTGCCCGCCCGGTTCCGGGCCCTCTTCACCCTGCGAAACCTGGGCGGCCCCGCGGCCGTGGAATGGATCAGCCGTGCCTTCGGGGACGGCTCGGCGCTGCTGAAGCATGAGCTGGCCTTTTGCCTGGGCCAGATGCAGGACGAGGCGGCCATCCCGGTGCTCATCCGCGTGCTGGAGGACACGGCCCAGGAGCCCATGGTCAGGCATGAGGCAGGTACGGCGGCAGCTCCTGCGGCTCGCAGGGCAGGGCAAGGGGCTGRCTGGCAAGTGGGGTTTGGGGGTGCTTCCCCCCTGTACAGAGCAGCTCATGGAGGGGAGCCCGTTCCAGTTTGGGTATGACCATGAGTCATGTCACATCTCACCTGGCCAGACCTGACTGGACTGGTTGACCAGGCCTTGCTGTTCCTGCTGGCCAGGCTTCTGCTGTGTTTGTCCTGTTTGGAATTGGTCAGTCCAGCCTGTGGCCATTTTGCCCCATTAGGGATTGTCAGTCAGGCCTGTGTCTGTGCTTCTGAGCAGGGCAAGGTGGTGCCAGAGGACACAGCAGTGTCCTCCCCATACAGACACCCTGATAACTTCACGACATGTTCTTCCTTCAGGTGAAGCCCTGGGTGCTATTGGGAACCTTGATGTGCTGGATCTCCTGAAACGCTATTCTGAGGATCCTGTGGTTGAGGTGAGGTTCCTGAGGGGTTATTTTCTCTGGGATGCAGCACTGCTTGTCTTAGAGGGTCAGGCAGGTCCCTCCTGGGCTGGCTGTGGCAGCGGGTGGGGTCACCACGATGACATCCTGCTGTGTGCTGGGGCTCCTCTGGCGCTGTCCAGTGCTGTCCCACAGCCAGGGCTGTGTCCTTGCCCCTGCAGGTGGCAGAGACGTGTCAGCTGGCTGTGAGGAGGCTGGAGTGGCTGCAGAACAACAAGGAGAAGCCAGACACCAGCCCGTACCTCTCCGTGGATCCTGCTCCYCCTGCTGAGGAGACAGATGTTGCCAAGCTCCGGGAGATCCTCCTGGATGAGTCCCAGGAACTGTTTGACCGCTACCGGGCCATGTTTGCCCTGCGGAACATGGGGGGCCAGGCTGCTGTGCTGGCACTGGCAGAAGGTGAGGGCCTGTCCTTGCTGTGGGTCTGTTCAGGCTAATCCAGGATGAGCCCTTCCCAAATCCAGGACTGCCAGAGCTGCTCTCACATGTTTGTGTCTAGGACTGCTGTGCCCTGCCTCGTTAGAGAGTGCTGGGTGGTCTCTGGTGTTCTAGACCCCCTTCTATGAGGGTCTTGGAGTGCCCCAGCTGTGATGGTGGTCTGTGGCCAGCCAGTCTCACCTGGTGTCAGTCTGGGCTCTGGGATGCTGGGGTCCTGCTCTCCTGGCCTGGAAAGTCGGGCTGTTGGTGTTGGGGAATAGCTCTGGAGAGGGAAATGTCTCCTGAGTGGAAAAAGGGTAGACCCACCACTCAGGAACCATTTGAACCCACTCTCACCCCGGGGGAAGYTGATGAGGCTCTCCAACCATCCTGGACTGTCAAGGTCCATGAGATGGGATCTGTCAGTTCCTGCTCTGGCTCCTCGGTTCTGGAGGGCTGAGGGTCCTGGTCATGCTGCCATCCCCTGGAACACTGCGTGCTGGGGCAGGACCTGGGGCAGGTGGGGGGCAGCAACTCTGCTGGGGGGAGTGGGTGCTGCCATCAAGGGAGGGCATCAGGGAGCAGGGCTGGAATCAGGGGACAGGGCTGGAATTGGATAGCAGGGTGGGATGGGGGAGCAGGGCTGGGATCAGGATGTAGGGCTGGGATCAGGGGGCAGGGTAGGACTGGGGAGCAGAGCTGGAATTGGATAGCAGGTGGGATGGGGGAGCTGGGTGGGTCAGGGTGTAGGGCTGGGATCAGGGGACAGGGCTGGGATCAGGGGCAGGGTGGGATCAGGGGCAGGGTGGGATCGGGAGCACGGTGGGACACCCCTTCCTGTACAGGGGCCTGGGGCAGTGACCCTTGGCATCCCCAATTTCCATGTGGAGGCTCCATCCAGGCTTCCTGGTGCATTTTGGGGAGCCCTGGTGCACTTTGGGGCATCCTGGTGCACTTTGGGGCATCCCAGCTCACTGTGCCCCCTCCCGCAGGGCTGCGCTGCGGCAGCGCGCTGTTCCGCCACGAGATCGGGTACGTGCTGGGGCAGCTGCAGGACGAGGCGTGTGTCCCCCAGCTGACGGAGGCGCTGCGCTGCTGCTCTGAGAACCCCATGGTGCGGCACGAGTGCGCCGAGGCGCTGGGCTCCATCGCCCGGCCCTCGTGCCTGCGGGCCCTGCGCGCCTTCGCCGGTGACGAGGAGCGCGTGGTGCGCGAGAGCTGCCAGGTGGCYCTGGACATGTACGAGTACGAGAACGGCGCCCAGTTCCAGTATGCTGACGGGCTCTGCAAGCTGCACACCTCCTCCTGAGCCTGGACTGGGGGTGTTGGGGTGGGCGTGCTGCCTCCCACCCCACCTTGCTACCAGTGGYGCTTTCACGGCCACCTCTGTCGGTGCCTTGCCGCACAGATCTGGAGGAGGAACTGGATTTGCTCTCTGGCAYGATTACAACCACCTTTTCCCTCCAAATCCAGGCTGAGCTGCTACTTGCCTCTCCACCRCTCCTTGCCAGCTGCTGTTTCCTGGTTCTGCCCCTTTTTCCCTGCCAGGATCAGCAGTGCCTGCCCACAGCCTGGCTTGGGGCTTGGACCAGGTGGGTTCTGCTCGGCACGTCAGAGCCTGCTGCAATTCTGCGGGGCTTGGGGCTGCCCTGGGTTGGTGATGCCACGTCTGCAGCTCCATTCTCCCCACCTGAGCTTTGCTGGGGGCCAGAATGGGCTTTGGGCACCCGCTCTTGTGGGTTGTGGTGTTGGGATGCTTTGAAATTCTCRGTGCTGCTGCCGAGCCGGGGCCCTCGCCCCCGTGGTGGGTTTGGCCTCTCCTGTTGCGACAGGCCAGAGCTGAGCCTGTAGCAGACTGCCCCAGGATGGGGGATTTTTCCATGGCAAAGTTGGGAAGATTTGGCTGGGTTTCTTCCTGCAGGGAAGGGCGCTGCCATTAGGGTGGGCAGGGTGAGGCAGAGCTTGCCTGGGCTTTCCCCCATGTTTAACCAGGGCCGGGAGGGCTGAGGCTGCTGCTGGCACCCAGACCCTCTGGCCAGCCCAGCCCGGGCACTGTGGGGTTTGGCAGGGAATAAAGCACTGGCACGGGAAGCTGGAGTGAGTTGAGCTGTGTTTTACCTGTGCCCAGGTGTGGGGTGCACGCAGCGCCGCAGGGTCAGGCCCTGGTGGGAGCCTGGGGGCTGCCAAAAGAAAATCATAAAACCATCGAGGTTGGAGAGAATCTTTAAAATCGTGTCTAGCCACATTAGGAGGAGCAAGGAGTGGGGTCCCTGCTGGCATGAGGTGAAACCCCCAACCCTGGGGAGCAGGATGAACTGCCTGTGAAGTGCTGTGGTAGGTTCCCCTGCACTACAGGGCATCCTGCTGGGCATACCTGGCTTTTCCCCTTGTCCAAGGGCTCCCTGTGAGTCACTCAAAGGCTCAATCCTCTTAGCTGCTGAAGCTGGCTCAGCATCCTCAGGGCTCAGGGACACAGCTGAGGGGMAGCCCTGGCCATAGCCCAGTCTGACCCTGTTCAGGACCCCAGAGAAAGGGTTCTTAGTCAAGATGTGACCAGTGTTGGTCACCTGTACACAGTGAGTCAGTGACACATGCCCAGGTGCTGTGGGTGGGGAGGCTGAGGGGCTCCAGCCTGCAGTTCTGCAGCCCTGGGGACAAACACCAGATGTTTTCACACTGGAGTCAGCAGCTGTTATGGGGCTGCTTGTCCCCCTTCCCTCACCCTCTGTAGCTCCTGGGTGATTGATGGGCAGGACCCAGCAGGCTCTGGGGTGTCCCTGTGTCCATGTCCATCCCCAGGACAGTGGGATGGGTGGTTTCCCCTGGGCCATGTTATCACCTCCATTGTTCCCTTCTCACTACACGGGCTTTAGCACCCTGGAGTTTGCCAGGGTGTCCCCACTTGTCACCCTGGCTGCCCCCACCTTTGTTCTCCAGCCTTTCCACAGGTGACTCACTCAGACACAAGGTTGTTTCCCAGTCATTCTGTGCCAACATTTCTCTCTGCTCCCCCAAACACCTTTTAAGACCAAACTGGAAGAAAATGCATTTCTGAGGCTGGGATCTGCGCAGGGGTGTCCTGGTACAGCAGAGCTGGGAGATGCTGGAGGCGAGCCTTGGGCCTTGACTGAACCCACCAGCACCTTCATCCTGCCCAGTCTGGCCTGTGCTGGGAATGGTTTGGGGTTTTTCCAAAGCTGCTGCTGGTCTGGGCTAAGTCCTGAATCCTCCTGATGTGGGGGGAATTGCTTTTGGGGGATGCGTGGACTCTGCACACCTCTGCAGGATGCYCTGCTTTGGGGGGAGATGGCACTGAGGTGACAGTGGACACTGGAGTGACACATGGAAACTCTGGGCAGGCGACAGCCTCTTGCCATGGGCTGCTTCCCTGTACAGCAAGGGGGGCCCTGTGGGACCCCCCCGAGCTGAGGCAGCATCSCCATCCCYGCTGCCCATTGCCTCCCGCTCTGMGGGTGCYGTGTCCTCTGGGATCTCTGCCATCTGCTCCAGGGATCTGGGATCTGCTGAGGGATTTAACCCAGCCCAGGGGAGGGAGGAGAGGCCTCGGGCATCCCTCCCCATTCCTGCCCTAGGGGGCGGTCTCCACACCAGCTGCAGGTGACTCCCCACTCCCAGGGGGCCAGGGGTACCAGTGGTACTGCCACAGGGGCAGGATTTGGAGACCCTGACCCATGCCGGAGCCCCCTGGTCACTCCCCATGCTGAGGCAGCTGGGCTGTGCCTGGATTAGCGGGTGCTAAGCTCCTTCTCAGCAACACAGCTCTGCTGCAGGGTGAGTGGCACTGCCACCAGCCGTGGGGACACCACTGTCCCTGTGAGCTGCCAGCACCGAGGAGCCTCGAGGATCCTGATGCCACTGCCCCTGCTGCAGTCCCCTGCGTGGCAGAGGCTTCAGTGGCTCGGTGTGGGGCTACGGGGATAGCTGGCCATGGTGGCCCTGGCAGAGGGCATCCCCCTCCCTGGCACCGGGGCTGCATGGGGGCCACGGCACTTGCTGCAGTCGCCCCCCGAGGAGGATGGGGTGCTGTATGTGGACTACAAACCCCCTGCCCTGGACAGCATCCGCCTGCCCCGCTACGTCCTGTACCTGATGATGGCAGCAATGCTGGTGCTGGTGGTGGCATATGCCATCGTGGGSCACCTCATCAAGGACCTGATGCACGACTTTGCTGGTGAGTGCTGCCCACAGTGGGGTCAGGATTTGGGGTGGGTGGGGGGTGGGGGGATCCTCCCCACCCGAGCCTGTGCCATGGCAGAGCTGGTGCTGCTGACAGTTCCGTCTCTGCCCCCGCAGACTGGGCATTCGGGCCCAAGCCGGAGGAGAAGGCAGTGATGGCCAAGGGCACCGTGCCAGAGGTGGAGTGGCTGGAGGMGGATGAGGTGCTGGTGGAGCAGAAGGTGGAGGGTGAAGGCGCTGGAGTTCTGCCCGGCATGGACATCCCGCTGCGGCTGCTCACCTCACGCAGCTCTGTCTCCTTTGCTGACTCCCCCAAGAAGAGGTTCTGCTAGGGCCAGGGACATCCCAGTGGCACCCTGCAGCCATGCCCAGCCATCGGGTCACAGCATGGTCCTGGCTGCAGACACTGCCCAGCACTGGCATGCAGCCTCCCCCTCCATGCCCAGCCCCAGCACTGCTCTTCAGGCTCCTCTTGCCACCCCAATAAAGCCACCTGCCCCACCTGCCCCTTGGCCCAGCACAGCAGGGGGCAGGGGGGGTGGCAGATCTGCGACATCCCAACCTTTGCCTGGGRTAACAGCCACCCCCGGGCATGGGCACATGGACAGGCACGCGTGTGGGGGCACACATAGACACGTGGCTGTGTAAAGGTGGGTGCTTGGGGTGCAAACAGACATGGGCACACACACACACAGCACAGGGAAACATGGATACACCTCTGGATGGGCCGAGTCAGCAGATGGACAGATGGACAGCTGGACACTGGGGCTGGCTGTGCCCTGCCACCTGCTCARTGCCTTGGCACTGCCAGGCCATGCCCGGTGGCACCCACAGCTGCCCCAAAGCCAGTGTTGGGGGGCAAAGCACTCCCAGACCTCACTTGGGCTCTGGATGAGGGCACTGGGGATGGGGGCTGTTGTACCCTTAAACCCAGGCTGGGGCTGGATCCTGCATCCCCAGGCTCCTTCACCCCTTGAGGAATTGGCACAGGCTGGGCAGCCCTGCCCAAGCCCACTGTCCCACCCTGGGCTGCTGCTGGCCACCCTGTGCCTCAGTTTCCCTTGTGCCCGGGTGGGCTGGTGCTCTGCCAAGCTCTCCCTGATAASGCTGTCAGTGTTTCACTCTTGGCAGTACCCAGGCACTCACACCCTGAGGATGTGATGGGGCCCCACTTGCACCAGCTGGGATTGTCTGGGTCCAGCTGGCTCATGCCCAGAGGAGAGCTGGGGGTGACCTGGCATTGCCCATCCCTCTGCTCTGCCCCAGTGTCTGCCCATCCCCATGGGATCTGCCCCAGCCCTGCCAGCAGGGTTGGGGGGAACTGGGCAGGGTGGGAACTTCTCAACCCCATCACCCATCTGTCCTTCCACCTGTGCACCCACCCCCGTGTTTGTCCATCCTCCCATCCCACCCCCACCTGTCTGTCCTTCCACCCAACCCACCTACYTGTCTGTCTGTCTGTCCTTCCACCCAACCCACCTACCTGTCKGYCTGYCTGTYCCGAGTCCTGGGCACAGGGGTGTGCCTGTCCTGTGCCACTATGTTCCCTGTGGTGGTGGTCCCTGTGGGGTGCCTGTGCCTGGGCCAGGTGAATCGTGCCACCTGCCACGGGTGACAGGAGTCACGTTGCCATGGTGCTTGGTGCCACTTGTCCTCTTGGAGCCAATAAAGGTGCCCGTTGCCCCGGGTGCGGAGAGCAGGGCCCGGCAGCAGCAGGGGACAGGAGCTCACTTCAGGCAGCAGGATCCAGCTGTGCCCAGCCCTCTGCCCAAAAATGCCGAGGCCCTTGCAGCCCCTCTCGCTCGTGGTCCTGCTTCTCCTCGCTGCCAGTGCCCAGGGACAGGCTGGTAGGTGTCTCTGTGACCCACTGCACCCTGGCATGCCTGGGGAGGTGGCCTAGGGTGGGATCASCTCCTGCCCTGACAGCAACTGTTTGGGGGGCAGATCAGAAAGATTTGGGGGTGCCTGGTTGCTGCCCCAGTGTTTCCCACTGTGCTAGGCACCCCCACACTGTSCTGGGGACAGGTGAGCTGTGTCAAGGGTACCTCCCTTAGCACACAAGGGACAGTGAGAGGGGGTGACTGAGTGTCTGCCAATGTGCCCTGGTGTGCCCAGTGTGCTGGGCTTGGCACCACTGGGACCCGGTACCGTGGGTTGGGCGGTCCCATCCCCTTCAAGTTGGAGCTCCCCTGAAGTTGTCCCCATGCCCATCTTTTCCCTTCCCTGCCCCCTGGCCGTGCAGTCGCGGGCCCYAAGGTGCTGCAGCCGTGGCTCATTGGCCTCACGGCCGTCGTCGTCTTYCTCTTCGTTGTCTTCGTGGCGCTGCTCGCTAACCGGCTGTGGAATCTCAGGAGGCGCAGGTTGGCTTGGTGCGGGGGTCAGGGGGGACACGCACTGCAGGGTGCCACGGGCTGGGCACAGCGCTGTCCCCAGACACCTCTCAGMCTCTCTCTCCCCTCGCAGGAAAGAGGATGACCACCCGGAGGCCCTGGCGACTGACAGGTACCACGGCCCGGGCGCTGCGGGGCGGCACAGGGACCACCCCATCATCCAACCGGGGCTCGGATCACTCAGGGTCCGCGTTCCGGAGGTGCCAGGGTGGCTGCGTGCCYTTGGCATGGCCGGAGTCGGCGGTGCCGTGGTGCCCCTCGTGCCCCTGGCACGGCCGCGGTGCCGGTGCCGTGCCGGGCTGACCGACGTTCCCACCACTCCCGCAGAATGGGGCGTTCCGGCCACGTCAACCCGGCAGCTGAGGACTCGGAGGAGCTGAGCGACGACAAGCAAGAGAGCAAGGCCACGTCCCTCTGAGTGCCCACCGCTGGCCGCTGCCCGCCCCGGGGCACCTCCGATCGGCACCGCGCCCTCACCCCGTCCGCGGGCCGTTCATCCGTGCCGGGTTTCGACGACAGCCGTGGCCACCGTGGCACTTCCCGCCCCGCAGCCGCTCCGGCTATGATCAAGACCCGGCGTGGATGAGCCGCTTACCGGAGCGACGCGAGGAGGACGGCGGCCGGGGAGGGCAGCGGGGCGTCCCCGTGTCCCCAAACCTGGCCCGCCGGGGTTCCCGGCTGGGGGGGGGCGAGGACTGCCCCCTCCCCAGCCCTGCTCAGTAAAGGTCCCCAGCCTGCCCCAGTCAAGCGTCTGGTGTCATCGTGTTGGGAAGGGGGGCCTGTCCGGCATCCCTGGGTGCCACTAGGGCAGGGGACA